CTTTTCCCTGAAAAGCTTACTTAAGGTACACAACTGGACCTTAAAACCACTGTTGTACCTTTGAGGGAACATTTAAATTGTTTGTACCTTGATGAACGAAAAATGTACCTGCACAGCACCTTTTTTCTGACAATGTGTGGAAACATCACAAAAAAGACAACAGAAAATGTAACTCATCATTCTGTAGTTCAGCAAGTATACTGTAAAAAAGGTTTGTGATTTTAACTTAAAAAAAAGTTCACTGAACATCTAAAAGTAAGTTAAGAAGAACATTAATTTGCATTACATTCTTCTAGCACTTTATTTTAAAAGGGAATTACACATTTTCATGCATAATACAGTCATTGAGATCTTTCTGAGTGGTTTACAGTGGTGGTGATAGGAACCAGGGGTTGCGATGTCCACAATGCAGATATTTTCTTTACTGTTCAAAATGACCTTTTGAGTTTCTATAAATAATGCTGCTGAAGGCAAAATCTGAAAAATAAGTTTTCTTTGGGGACTATTTTGCCTTACAACACAATGCATGTGTCCTGCTGCCATAAATCTATTGTAAAAATGATGTTTTGGGCCAAAAGCTTGTCCCTGAAATACTATAAAACAATGTCTCAGACATCAGGCAGCGTATTCATATCAATTTCCTAACATAATTTTTGTGAGCTAGCTTTTCGAAAAATGTCAGACGTCTGGTTCCCATCACCACCTATGAACAGTTCTGACTTGCCAAGTTTCTCTATATTTCATATCAAACCACTCTGAATGAATGTTTAATCTTCAATGACTTAATTATGCAAAAATGTGGAGAAATCAGTGGTATTTCCCTCTATGTTTAATATAAGCTTATGAAGCTAAACTTTTAATAAAGCTGTTTAAAGCAGTGCAACCCTTTTCACAGTAGCCAGAAAATAAACACAATTTCCATCTGTTTTTAAGGTCCCTCAGTTAAACTATGCAATATTTTTCTTCTTCAGTGACACTGATGGAATATATTTATATGGAAATGTGTATGATTTACAAAACTGGAAGGGAACTGGATTTCATCATAGGTCAGAAAGCAAATCAACATTTACAAAAAGTGTTTTACTGTGTTTAAATGCTACTTTTTAAATGGGGCTTGATTTTTCAATATAAACAAAACTGCAGGTGTGCTTTATCTCAGCTCAGCCTTCTTTGCAAAGAGGTGTGAATTGTTTTCACAACAGGAGGTTCTCACCCGCTCTTTCACCCCTCATTGCTCAGTAGCAGCTCAACACAGAGTCACAACATTTCACACCCAGAGACAACAGTGTCCTAGTGAATCTGATAACAGAATTACAGGGAAAAATATGGTTCCACTTTATATTAAGTGTCTCTAATAACTATGTAGTTACATGTGAACAACATATGCAACAACACTGTAACTACTAATGATTTATTCACTGTTACAGATGGATTACAGAAGTACACCTTATGTAATTACACAAGTGGATCTTAATAGTTGTAACAGCCTATTCTCTCATGTAATTACACAATGGTAATAACATAAATGTAATTACATTGTAATCACTGTAATAGTTTTTTCAGCAGTTTTTTTTTCCAGCAGTAAAAGGAAGTATGTAATAACTTACATTAAGACATTACATACACTGTATCTGCCAGCTTTCCTAACATTTAGCTAGAATTTATGTTGCTAGTCCTGTGACACTGTAACCAGATCCAACTTTAAACCATTCTGTAATGTGACAGTACAGCAGACGTCCCCTTATCTTAACATGTAACTTTTGTGACATTAATTAAATGTTGCATTCCCCCAAAGCAATGTCTATATTACCACTCCGTTATTACACAGTACCTACATACCAACTACTCAGGAACTGTCCACATTACTTTAAAGTGTAACTTTAACACTACACTACAGGAAAGTTCTTCTGTAGAAGATACACTTGTGTAATTACATGAGGCAAAACTGAAGTTGATACATATGTGTAATTACATAGGCTGTACTTCTGTAATCCATCTGTAACATTGACTAAATCATCAGTAGCTACAGTGTTGTTACATATGTTGTTCATGTGTAACTACATAGTTATTAGAGACACAATATAAAGTGGGACCAAAAATATTTTCATTATTTATATTAATTAAAGAATATCTCAGTCGATTTCCATTCTCTGGCAGAATTGCCACTAGGGGGTCTGCAGAAGGAGGTTCAGTCATGTTTGGTGTTTTTCTTAGGTAGTTAAGTACCACATCATCCTGTCCCCCACTGTACTCAGCATCAGCCGATCAGGACAATCAGCAATCAACACTGACCTCACATAGCGCTGATCGGTCCATCTCTATTTACAACTGTAGGTCTGAGCAATCTCTGCTCGGCAAAAACAGCTCGCACGTGCGTATCACGGACAGATGGAGTTCGTCCAATCACAGAGCTCGACTCAGCGTGGTATATGACACTGTGACAGAGCCCCGCCCACACCCACACAGGCACCATCTGCCTACTCAGCATCCGTATGTGCCTGGAGACAGACTCACTCACATACACCTCAGTGTGTCACCTACTTTCAGTGCCACCACGAGACACCACACAGCTTTCCAAACAATCAGCAGCAGCCAGTGTGTGTGTGTGTGTGTGTGTGTGTGTGTGTGTGTGTGTGTGTGTGTGTGTGTGTGTATGTGTGTGAAGGTGTGTGTTCGTGGAGAGAAAGCGTCTGCTGCAGTCTCCTGTCCTGCAGAGGGAGAGCCAACTCATACAGTTCCTACTAATAACCTCACTAACAGGAGGTCTGATCTCACACACACACACACTCGCATGCATAGAGAGAGGATATAAGATTCCATTAAGAAAGGGCCAAGACACTCCTGCTGAAAGCTAAATACAGACGGCCTGCGCAAACTAATCTCTGCACAAGCCTCTGCTGGCGGCAGGCCGAGAAACCTTGAGATAGAGGAGAGAGAGAGAGAGAGAGAGAGAGAGAGAGAGAGAGAGAGAGAGAGAGAGGACCTGAATGAAAGCACTTGATGCTCATGGCGTGAGAGCCCATTTGTGTGAACATTAAAAAAAGAAACAGTAATGGAGGGGGGTGTAAACCTCCGACCTCACAAAGATTCGATAATGAAGGATTATTTTGGTAGAATTCAGTGTTTTTAAACTCTACTGATTACACTACTATGACTGGAGGAGCCATTTACACAGCAGGCGAATACTGAAAATAGTTTCTACCCAGGCTGTCAAATGATTCAAAGAATTAATTGCAATTAATGACACCATTTTCATCAGTTTACTGTGATTAATTACATTTGACACTAAAGAAATATGTTTTTTTTAAAGAATATTAAGAAATACTAAAAAGTAGTCCATGTTGCTATTGCTACAGCGGACAAAATAAGCTTCACTGGAATGTATTTGTTACTTTTAATAATTCAATGACATAATTTTCTTCATAGGAAATGATTAAAACTCCTCAATGATTAGGACTAAAACAACCAACTTGCACAAGGAAGGGGAAAGTCAATGGAAAAAACGGTAGTTTTCAAAACTGGACTTCAGAAAGTGATTGAAAGCTACAGAAAAATGGGCATCCTAACAACCACCTGGAAGACCTGGTAAACACCAAAACTGCCCCCTTAAAAAAAACAGCACTTAAACTTTCATCTTTGAGAGACAGGAGAAAATCAAGCCGCTTCAGATCTGAAAACATCCAGCTGACCAAACCCAGAGTCCAGACCCCAACATCACTGAATGCGTTTGGGATTACTTGGACTGTGAGAATTAGAAGGTGCAACTTCTGAGAATGAATAGACTCTGAATATTCCTGTAGATTTACTTGAAATACTGGAAGCAAGTCTCCTGAAAAGAATGGAAGCCGTAGTAGAAGTAAAGAGTGGACACATTAAATACTAAAAACTTTAATGTTACATTTTGTTGTTGAGGTTTCTGTGTCATTTTCTGTTAAACATATGTTTTCAGATTTTTTTTTCTGAAGCTGAAAAATGAATTTAAACAATACTGGAGGTCTCCCACAAGCGCTGTCCAGTGTAGTCTGCTGAAGGCACTGAAAGTACTGCTTTTAAAGCCCTTTAAAAGCTGTATTTGAACAAGACAGCTACAATCACAGATTCGATAACAGTTAAATACAGCAGGTGAGCAGCCAGACTTCAGCCTGCACTGCTGTGGTTTGAAGGGTCAAAGTAGAAAAGAGCGTTAACCCAGGCTATCCAGTTGGGGTCAATCAGGCCCCAACTTGTGACTAAGTAGCATGTGTTGGTCATAGGCCCCTCCTCCTTTAGCCAAACACCAGTTTACTCCAGATTTTTTATGTTTGAAAATAGCTACAATTTTATTTTGGTCAAAAAACAAGCGTAATTTATTGAATATTCATTCCAAAATCGAAGTAGTTACATGACTTTTGGTGCTTCACAATACACTAGCCACATTTACATGCAGCCCAATAATCCGTTAATAATTCGACTAATAGCTCAATCAGAATAGAATACGTCCATGTATACAACTCAATCGGAATACATTAGTTCAATTTAGGCCATTTAGAATACAGTTTCTATCTGATTGAACAAGGTGGGTAATCCTGTAAATAATCTGTTAAATTGAAGAATAATAACCGTGTAAACGACTGTATCTGATTACATTCCCAATCGGAGAGTTTAAGTACGTTCTGATCTTGTGTGTCGCATCATAGCTAAAGTTTATAATGTTAACATGGCGGAGCAGAAACTGGTCTGCAGAGGAGACGAAGTTTATGCTCTGATCTTTAAAAGACAGCGGTGGGACGGACGTCCAGCTTATGTGTCTCAGAACACAACGTCTTCCTCTCGGCCTTCTTTAATAAGTACAAGTGAAGTAGATTTTTCTGAGTCTGACATCATTTTAAAGTATTTGCATGTCAAAACAGCTGCTGAGGACTTCTACATTAAGCACATAACCACAGGTGGAGAAATCGGGTGAGGATACGATTTACACACGTCTCCTCACTGGAGAAGAGGACCTGGTTGAGAACACTCACGTGGTACAGCGAGGTGGAATCTGAGCTGGGTGTGGACATGGACTCCTGACGCAGGACCTCCATCTGCAAAGCGGGGAGCAGGGAGTAGTGGGCGGGGCTTCCCCCCTTCTCGCTCTTCTTCTTCGTCCGCTTGCCCGTGTCCCGCTTTGCGCTGCGGCTGGTCAGATACTCCTCCGGAACCTTCTCTTCACTCACGTACCGCAGCATGGAGTTCTCTGAGAGAGAGACCGAGAGAGACAGACAGAGAGAGAGAGAGAGAGAGAGAGAGAGAGAGAGAGAGAGAGAGAGATTAACTAGAGCAATAATCATATTACCCATGAACTGCAAAATACTGTCAGTGAAATGTAGTGTAATATGATCATACAGCCTAAACTTTACTGTGCCATAGAGATTATGATATTATCTAACAAAACCATGGATGTCTGAATGCTAACTTTTCAGGGCTTCTTAACTTTAAATAGAAGATAAAGGAACAGCATTTTTTCTCCACTAATTCTGGAGCATTTCCATTGATCCATTCATTATGAATTTTTAACACATTGTAAATGGCAGCTGGCGTTTATAAATTCTTAAAAAATGAAAAATGACAAAAATAGAGATACAAGGTTTTGTGACGATAGTGGTTTAAATATATACTGCATTTCAAACTTTTGATATGACATAAACAGTATTCACAGTTTTGATGGACATTAGCTTGAGCATTTAGAGCATCATTATTGTGGCAAGAACGTCTGCTTCATAGGAATTATGCATGTCCTGAAAAGTACATGAATAATACAATGCACAGTAATCTAAATGCAAAAAAATAATTCAAAAGACAATCCTTATATCTGCTCACCATACATGCTGCCAATGCCAATCGTTTTCGGGGACGCTTAGCAAAGGTTTTTTAATAAAAAAGTCAGCTTAGCTAGTAATTCTTAATAAAGTTTTCCACAGTAGAGTTTATGTGTCTTAAATTAATGAGTTGTTTTGAACTGATGCAATAAACTAATTGACATTAATTGAATGAGTCTTATATTGTCACTCATACTTTTTTAAAACAAAACTTTTCCACTTGTTTTTACATAAATCTCTCTCTGCTTTTCAGTGTCCCAAACTGAAACTTAGCAACAAATACTTTTTTAAAATTAGAGTTTTTGCCTGTTTGCAATAATTCTATAATAATATTCATTGATTCATTCCTCAAAATTATATAATATTATATTATTATCAAAAATCAATAGCCTTATTATAAACCATATCACAATTATCATATTATGACTAGGCAGGTTTATCCTGAGGAAAACAAAATCACACATGTCAGTGCTACTTTGGAAATAATTTTCCACACTTCCATCCATATAAATGATGCCCATTTACCATCCACCATTTTGGCAGGGCTCGTCAGTCTAGGCCGGTTTAGAATAGCTGAAAAACACTAAATTGTCTATCTGCTTTCCTTGACTTTGGCTGATTCGTAGCTTTTGGTCTCATTAAATCCATTTGCAGAGAAGAAGAGCATGTGGACAAACATGACTAACAGATCACAAAACCAAATCAAGGAAAACAGATTGTTGATGAAGGTTTAAATAGCTATTCAGATGCAGCTCTGGTTAAACAGCACATATGAAGCATTGCAGTGAGTGTGCGGTTAAACATCAAGCTCAAGCTTATTTTATAAATCTAATCGTATAAACGTAATGGAATAAAACTTTCAACATCATTTAGTGGATTTATCACATTTGGAATCAGCTAACCAACTTTTCACAAACACCTCATGACACACCAGGCGCCAGAATGAAACTGCTGCATCATTTAAGATGGAAGGAAAACTGGAAAACGAAGCGGGAGAGGAAGCAAATCTCAGATTGTGTTACGGTGGGCAGGGATACTTCCACTAACATAACCAATCTTAAAACAAGCTGTTATACAGCTAATATGTATCTACGAGGTCAGAGGTGATGTAAGTTGTGCTGTGACTGCACTAGTAACATTAGCTGAGCTGCCAGACTATTAGCGCTGTCTGCTTCTCTTGACTGCCTCTTCAGTGTAAATGTAAGATCTAATGTGGATTTTTATGGGGCTTAATAGTGTAGCTACAGCACACAAATAGCTCGCTAACTAGCATTTGTTAAAGCTATTTACGGTGGGATATGCCAAGACCGAGAGAAATAATTAAGCCCCATAAAAATCAACGTTTAAATCAACGATTGTATGAATCCTCTCTTGTTAAATATGCCACTGGATGAGTGAATAACATTAAAGCTGCCAGTGGCTGAGTGATATACAGCAGTAACTGAGGTAAATCTGCCAGTGGCTGAGCGAAAGATGTCAGTAAACTAGCTAACTGAGGTAAATCTGCCAGTGGCTGAGTGAAAGATGTCAGTAAACTAGCTAACTGAGGTAAATCTGCCAGTGGCTGAGCGAAAGATGTCAGTAAACTAGCTAACTGAGGTAAATCTGCCAGTGACTGAGTGAAAGATGTCAGTAAACTAGCTAACTGAGGTAAATCTGCCAGTGACTGAGTAAAAGATGTCAGTAAACTAGCTAACTGAGGTAAATCTGCCAGTGGCTGAGCGAAAGATGTCAGTAAACTAGCTAACTGAGGTAAATCTGCCAGTGACTGAGTGAAAGATGTCAGTAAACTAGCTAACTGAGGTAAATCTGCCAGTGACTGAGTGAAAGATGTCAGTAAGCGAGCTAACTGAGGTAAATCTGCCAGTGGCTGAGTGAAAGATGTCAGTAAACTAGCTAACTGAGGTAAATCTGCCGGTGACTGAGCGAAAGATGTCAGTAAGCTAGCTAACTGAGGTAAATCTGCCAGTGACTGAGTGAAAGATGTCAGTAAGCTAGCTGAGGTAAATCTGCCAGTGGCCGAGCGAAAGATGTCAGTAAACTAGCTAACTGAGGTAAATCTGCCAGTGACTGAGTGAAAGATGTCAGTAAACTAGCTAAATGAGGTAAATCTGCCAGTGACTGAGTGAAAGATGTCAGTAAGCGGGCTAACTGAGGTAAATCTGCCAGTGACCGAGTGAAAAATGTCAGTGAGCTAGCTAACTGTCAGTAAGCTAACTCAGGAAAATATGTTGGTGGCTGAGAGAAATAACTGTTTGATACTGTATGGTGTTCGAGTGACTTAAACTTTAGACCTACTTAAAGGAACAGGCACTTAAGCCTCACACCAGCTAGGAAAAGGTCTGTGAATGAAAGAGGAGGAACTGTTAGCATGTCCAGATCATTACTCCATTCGACCCCCAGTAAGGTAATTTTATCATTATATAGTTGTTTGGCATCCCTCTGGAGTTGGTTAAGATACACTCTCATTTCATTTAATTCAATATGAAGCAGGACAAGCCTGAAAAAACACAATAAAACAGCAAATTCTTTAAGCTCTTGCAGTGTGAGTATTTGCAGCATATAAGCAAAGAATAAACCCTGCTAACATGGTGTAACGACGAATTAATGCAGTGCGATGTGACATACATTCCCAAGTTCTATACTTCTGTTTTATTGTCCTGTCTAGCCAGCGTAACATGTATTTATTGTCATGTAGGTTTATGGTCTGGTGTATTTATTGTATATTTTGCACTCAGTTCACACTATTGTGTATCTGCACTCTATGTAGTCCTCTGTATTGTGCTGCTGTTGTGTGTTGGGGCCTAAAGAATGACATTTCATTCCAATGTGTACAAGTATTGAGGAATGACAATGAAGACCACTTAACTTGACCCTTGTTATGATGTCAGCACTCAAACCTTTCAGCTGTTTAAATCACCTTCAGGCCAAAAGATTCTTAATGTGTGCTTTTAACAATAGTTTGGAGAAGATAAAACCTACTCTTCAGATAATTTGGTAAATCTGAAAAAATGCAAAATATCCAAAACGTTTTGGCAAGTACCTGTTTTATGCTAACAAAAACAGGTGTTACCTCTTACTTCATAAAAATATTTCAACCAAAAAAGAAAATGATGCCAACAATAAATACAATTGAAAGGCCTACTTGATGTTACATAATTGGTTGAGATATTCCTTTAACTGAAAATTAACAAGAAAAATATAAACTCTTGATGGGTGGTGTATGTTGCTTATGTTGGATATCAGCCTGTAAGTTGAGTATAATTACTGTGGCAAGAACTTCAGCTGCATATGATTAAAAAAAATGAACAGTAAGTTAAGTGCAAAACATCAGCAAACTAATAGGCAATCACTATAACTGCTCACCATATAAAAATGAGTTCTAGTCCTGGAGTAATATATTGCTGGACCCCACTGACAGGCACATTCATCTCTCACTAACTCCACCGACCAATCAAAAGCACTGGCCCACTCTTAAGGGGCCAATCACCCGCTCAATTTTCCAAATGAGTCACAAACAACATTTCAAAAGCCCAGTTCTTGGTTAAAAGGGTGTGCAGGAGTGATTGGTCATGGCTACGCCAGCCTCCAGAAATAAGAGAGTTCCACTAAACCGTCCCTTTAATTTCAAACCCACCACGGCCATCATTAAGTTGGCGTGCTCCCACCCCTTTACTCCGCTGTTGCCCGGCAGCAGCCAATGGGATGTAAATCATTGCGGAGAGCTGCTGTCAAGAGTCTCCATGGCAACAGAGTAATTGCAGAATGAAGGGCTCTCTCTCTCTTTCTCTTTTTTTGCTCCGAATGGAAAAGTTGTAAACAGTGGCAGTGAGTGGAATATCTCACACAGGTCCCAGGAGCTGCTCCGCCACTAATTAATTACACTTAAATTACTGTGCCGGCCACAAATTTAAAGTGTTGTTTTTGTGATGCTGGAAACGAACCAAGACTAAGTGGATGAGTCTTACTTAGCCAGCTAATAAAGCTATAGTAGGGCTTGTTTAGCTGTGTTTTTACATTTAAAAAAAACTGTTTAGAAATTATGTGATAAACTAACCAAGACTAAGTGAATGAGTCTGCTTGCTTATTTATTTATTTATTTATTTATTTATTTATTCATTCATTCATTCATTCATTCTTACTGCAGTGGGGCTTATTTATTTAAGCTTAACACAGGAGGGCTTGGATATTTACTTATTTAGTTAGTTAGATATTAATGCTTTTCACATTGGGGCTTGTTTGTTTATTTATTTATTTAGATAATAATGCTTTTCATAGTAGGACTTGCTTATTTATTTAGTTATTTAGTTAGTTAGATAACAGTGCTTTTCACAGTAGGGCTTGCTTATTTATTTTATTTATTTATTTATTTATTTAT